TCAAATTTATTTTTACATTCCAACCTTACAATCCATAAAAAAACAGTCACCTCCCCAAGGACACTTAACTACTTAACTGGCACTCTAGGCTAGATTAGGTACTTCTCCCTCTTGTTCACTTAGCACTTTATACTTATGTATAAAGTATAGTTCTCACAGTGTAATGGAATTATTTCTTTGTCTGTCTTCTTGCTAGACTATAAGCTCCCTCAGGGCAAAGCACATGCCTTTGATATCTGTGTTTGCAGAAACTAACCAATGCTCTCCTCACCATATGTGCTCTATAAAATCCTAGCAAATGAATGAAAAATTTATTTAACATCTATTATTGATATATTGAATATTATTTTAGATGTAAGAATATTTTCCTTTAATCCCAATGCTATAGATAGAGAAATAAGTATGATCTTACCGTGGCTTTAACATTCTGTGAGAATAAAGTTTTAATTTAAAAATTAATTAAGAAAATGATTCTCAGAAAGCACAAGTGTATTAACGTAGGAAAGTACCCCTTGACTTGGCAGGTGAGTCATAGGAGGTTTGGTGCAATCTGGAACATAGTCTGAGATGTATGGGTTAGGACCACTTAAAGAAGACAAGGGAAGCCATTTCTGGTAAAAAGAAGAATTCATGTAGCATGTGGGGGATATATCCTGGCCAGTATAGAGGTTCACTAAGAACACATTGAGACATCAGGAAAGTACTGAGTGAAAGCCTAGGAGTCTGCTACCTAACTGTGTTAAGTGACAGCTGAAGAGGATTGAAGGGTTATCAGAGAAACAAAATGTGCCTGACTTGATAGAAAGGCTACTCTCAGTTCAAAATCAGGAACAACTGAACCAAAGGCCCTGGGAACAGAGATACGTGGTGCGTGGTCCTTGTGAGAGTTCTGCAGTTAGTAAAAGAATTCTTACTTCTTAGTGATCAAATAGCGGTAAATAGTGATCAAATCCAAACAACGAGATTGTTAAAACAAAACAAAACAAAACAGTGACAGAGTGTCTAATGAAGCTACGTAATGCACAGAAGGAATATCCAAATTTTATCATTTCCTGTTAGAACAAATGATATAAATTGAAAGTGCAAGGAATGAAAACAGAATTAATCTTTTTATATAAAACAGAGTTTGAATTTTTCTTCTCCTCCCTCCCGTCTTCCTTTTTTCTTTACTTCCTTCCTTGTTCTTCCTCACTCTCATCCTTCCTTATAGTTTATCTATTTATATTTACATTTTTAAATTCCATTGCATTTTCCTGACACTTTTATCTCAATAGGTGGCCCTACACATGTTTATTATCTTCATTTCTACCTACATTACAGAGGTTTTAACCCTTGCTTCAGAGCTTATTATTTCTGATAGCCTCTGTCATTGACTTAATAGCAAGAGTAGAAAGAGGTAAACCCTCAGGAAAGGTCAAATTTTTTGACCTTTTAAAAATGCTATTTTAAGACATGGAATCAACCCAAATGTTTATAAACAGATGAATGAATTGGAAAAGTGTGGCACACATGCTCTATGGAATACTATTCATCCATAAAGGACAACATGACCCTGGCACTTGATAAGAAGTGGCTGAATATGGAAGATTTATTGCTGAGTGAAGCAAGCCAGACTATGAAAGAAAGATATTGTATATAACTACTTAATATATACCAACTATCTACACTCTCTGATAGACTTCTAAATATTGGAGGGCATAAAAGCAGCGAAAATAGTTACAAATGCTGAAGACAGTGTGGAATGGGTTAGGGGGAGTAGGGAAGAATATAGAGAATGATAGCATGAGAACAAATAGAGACTCATGACATATGTGGGACATAGAAATGGTTTATTACCTACTGATGATAACATGTATTGTATTCTCAACTGGACTGGTCTGAGAAGTATTTCATGTTGGGTAAATTCTCTTTATAAGCCAAATGATGTATAGTGATTGAATGTTTAAAAATAATAATAATGAGACTAATAAAAGAATAATAATATAAAAAGTTTATCATTTATTCAATATTTATTTTGTGAGCATAAATTATGTATATGGATTTTTTATTGTTTATTAATTTACTCCACTTTAAGCTATTTGTTTACTTTGAGTGAGTGCAACAAATTTCTCTTTTCCAATTTTGTAAAGAATTAAGGCTGGAAATCTATATTAAAGCATAAATTCAGATTTGTTTCTGAACAGTTGACCCTTTCTTAAAAAGAAGTAGGCTAGGCACATACTTCTTAATCAGGCTTTGACCATTAAACCCATATAAAACACAGTATCTACTGTAGAGTTTATAATAATTTGGCTAATAGGGCTCTCTGTGTTCATGTCTATAAAATGTTGTTTAAATTTATTTTTACTAGGCTGGAAAAGTTTACTGAACATAAGCATTTTATACTCACACGCACACACTATATACACATATATATATCAGAAAAGTTGTAGTTGTCGGAAAAGTACTGACATGTTTTCTATATTTTTCTATGCAATAATGTATCATAAACACACACATATGCATGGCTATTTAAATCACAGCATTTTATTTTATATTTAATAAGTCAATGTTTAATTTCTCCAGATGGTTAAATCACTATATTTGAAACTGTAAATTATCTGAAATGAGGAATTACTTTTTCACATAGGAAGCCAGCATCATGCCCAAACCTTGAAAAATATTTGATAATGATTCTTAAGTAAGGGACTTCATCAGTATAAAGATGTCCCCTAGTGGTAGCAAAACTACTTTTAATCAAAACTGAAGTTTTGAAAAGTGCAATGCAAAGACATTTCATGATATTGTCTATAAGATAAATTAAAAGGCAGTACTTTTGGGAGACTGAGAAGAGGACGGGAAAGGAAATTCAAAAGTGACAAAGAGATGTTTATGATAACTTCAAATAACCAAATATAAACAGACAGTCCACTCAGGAAAAAACTGACTGATTCATAATTAGCTTTATAAATAATTTTAATTTTAAAACCCAAATGATTAAGTTAGGAACAGAAATAGCTGAGTTCTCACATGTCTAACAATATATATACCTTCTATAAGAAATAAAGACCTAATGGTGGCACAGAGGTAAAAAGGGGACACTCTGCTAGGCTGACCCACATGGGAAGGTTCCAAGTTCTCATCTGATGAGCTCCCTGAATATGCCCTGAACGTGAATCCCCATTATCCAGGGCTAGCTGCAGTTGGGGGTGGATCAGAGCATAAAGATTCTGTTAGAAGTTCTGTCTTTATATCTCTCTCTTTCTGTCTCTCTTGTTCATGGGAGAAATAAATAAACTTTTCAAAAAGAAAATTATATCTTAAAAGCCTTTAAAAATATCTATTATTTTGCTATTGATTTTACTTAAATTCATACTACATATGTGTGTATACAAATTATAGCACTTAGAATGCTAAATTTAAGAATTAACCCATTCCTTTTTTTTTGATAAATGTTTAATTTCTACTCATGCCACATGCTAACTTGTTGATTATGTGTGTGAAAGAAAAACTACTCTTCAGGATAAGCAAATGGCTTACTCTCCTTTGGGAACACTTTCTATTATTCTGATCTGTGGGAAGTGCTTTGACTGAGAGAGCGTTTAGCTGTTGATTCTTTTAATAACGTGCTATGTTCCCTTTGTGGTGATATGATATTCATTTTGCCCTTTGAGAACAGATGTGCCCCAAAGTTAGGAAAGAAAAAATTCTTGTTAATTCAGCAACTCTAAAGGTTATCAATATCCTTAAGGAAAAGATGAGACAAGAAACAATTTGATCTATTATACACAAGCTTCCTGTACAATGTAAGTATTTATTCACTTACTGAAAAAAAAAGTACCTAGGTCTTCTACTGGAACAAGTACTTTGAAGTGAGAATGCCCATTGTTACATCACCCACCCATCCCCCCTTTTTTTTTCCTACAGGAAGAATTTTCATTTAACTTAGTAAGAAAATTCAACCTCACGGCAGTGATAGAGGTCATCACTAAGGTACTAAAATAATAGCTTCAGGCCCAGCCATGGAAGAAACACAACACTTCACAATGCTTAAAGCCATATGGAAGATCAGGGTTCCATTTTTGAGTACACCTACACACAGAGGGAACAAACACAGTGCCCATGGGCCTGGCTGGCTGAAAAGTTTGGTGAAGCCCAAGGATTGTGGCATGAAAACCTTTGAAGATGCTTGTCTATCTTTCTTTTTCTCACTCTTGTGAAATAAACTATGAAAAAAAAAAAAAAAAAGAAAAGAACTTCTGCTTTCTTATGAGGTGAAATATAAATACTTATTATGTTTTTTTTTTATTTCTTCTACATATATATCTTACCTCAACATTTACACTAAAGGAAATACATTTTTTAAATATATATATATATATATATAAATGTAGGATATGTTATTATTGTTTATGCAAAGTATAAATTATTAAATTCAATATATAATTCAGAACTAAAAGAACACAGCTTTTATACAAAAATCTTTTATGCCTGAGGATGAACTAATCCAGTTAGCTTCAACTCAGTGAAGGAAAATTTCAGATTTGTACTTTCTTTGTCAAAAATATCTAACCACTTCTATTCTCTAGCTCAAATAAAAAAAATGTTATTAAAGTTAAACCTGCAGAAATTACATAAAGATACACATGTGCTTAATCAACTTTAAAATTATTTAGTGTGCAAACAAGAATAAGGTGAAGATATAGAATCAAGGATAAAAAAATAATGGATATTGTTCACTCTCACTTTATCCTTAGTCCAGGGATCAGGGAAACAGAAAACCCAGATTCCAGTGCTGGATTCCAATAGTTTATAGTGTGTGTTCTTGGAAAAACATGTAATTTTCGATTGCTTTTTCTTCCATCTATGAAATAAGGAAATAATTGACATAATCTACTTTACGCAGGTGTCTACTGTACGGAGGAATAACAAATGGTGACTAGAAAATTTCAGACATTGTATAGCACTTATCACTTGAAGATGGCTGACTTTTTCCTTTTATATCACCTTTTGCTTTGCAGAAATGGCAGCATTATAGTCATATTTGACCTTTATTTTGCCCAGTGGGTGTCAGATGAAAATGTAAAAGAAGAACTGATTCAAGGCATTGAAGCAAATAAATCCAGCCAACTGGTCACTTTCCATATTGATTTGAACAGCATTGATATCACAGGTATCTGTGAACTTTATTTGATTTCTTTGAATCATTAAGCTATGAAATTAAAATTCTAACACTATACCAGAGAAGAACTGAGATCATCCTTGACTTTAGGAACATGTCTTATTGCCTGAGGTGACATATTTACATTAAACAGTGAAACACAGAGAAAGCACATTAAAAAAATAAGTCAGTGAGAAGAGTTTATAAAATACTAACCATAAAAAAAGATTCTGGAAATATTAGTGTCTGTAAACCATTTATGGGTCTGGTCACATTCTTTTCATTGGTCAAGCACAGCCTGACTTGTCAGGGATGCTCTTTCAGATAGGAACACTCCTCAGTTTCTGACTGAGTCATAGATATTATTAGATTACAAAGTCAAGTGGAAAGGTCCAGCCTCTAATTGAGAAACTGAAAGAAGAATAACAGAAAGCAGTCAGTGAGTTTGATACATTTCAGTTATTTACTGTTTAATTAAAGCTTTATTTTTAAATTATAACTTTTAGAATAATAATAAACAAAAGGGAAAAGAAATGAGACCTCAAAAATAACAAGGCATTATGTTTATTCATGATTAAGTTATTCAACCTAGAAAAAAAAGGAAAACCAGTTGGATATTATTTTGAAAGTACTTTCAAACACTGAGGTTAAAACAAGATGACTGGTAATACTTCAATCTAATCATTTATTTAACTAAAAAACTTCTAAACATTTTGTTATTGGAGACTGTATTGAATGGCCTAAATCAATCCTCAAAAAATTATTATAAGGTAAGTAAAGGAAATATTGTGTTTCCTATTTTGCTAAATCTGTGTACTACATGAGGCTCAGTCATCCTTTCCATTTATTCCACTCATATGGCAAGATACCATAGATTTATAGAGGGGAACGAGGCAATTAAACTTAAACCACAGTTCCTAAGCAGTAATTTATTATGAATATGCCTTTCAGGGATGTTAAGTTTATTCTCATTTTTATATTCCTAGAAGACAGAGTTTGAGAAAAATCAACAAACACATGCATCATATACCTGGCATTAGTACTATTATAAATTCTGCCAAAGAGAATTTTGTATGATAAAGGGTACAAAGTCCATGAGGATTATGTTCTATGGTATAACTGCCTTTGTTGCCAATTACCGTAAAGTTTTACTAACCCATTTGGAACGCTAGAAGAAAGAAAGAGGAACTGAGGTCGCATTATACAGATTTATTTCTTGGCTGCTACAGAGTGCCTGAAGGGGCTGTTTTGGGCAGTTTCTCAACTGCTCGAAGGCTTTCTAGACTACAGCGCACTCTAGTCCTTTGTTACTACTGTGTAGGCAATGACTGCAGAAAAATGAAAGCTTCACTGTCATCGGCTTTCTCTCTCTCATGTAAAATGGAATCTTGTTATAATTCTACTACATGCAAGTGTCTGGGGATTGAAGAAAGAGAATAATTGGCTGCCTTACTGAAAAATATAAAATTTGGTCCATAGTACTTAACATAGAATAATGCTCCTCAATTTAATTGCTCCAGGACTGAGATGCTAAAACTATCTGATACCAAATATATTGTGACTTCAAGTATTTTTCTTCCTCAGCATCCATGAAAGCAACATTTATATATTGGTACACATTCTCCTCTAATACAAAACATTACGGGAACCAGCAGTTAGCGTAATGGCTATGTTGCTGGATTCCCACGTTGTCGACCATGGTTCGCGTACCAGACCCGGTGGCTTAAAACTCACGCCGGGCACGTGTGCGTGCGTGCCCAAGATCCCGAGAGGAGAATGGAGGAGAAGGGATTGCGGCGTGACCATGCCCCCTGGGGGGTGATTTCTTGCTTTCTGTCTCTATGTCTCTCTCTGTCTGTCTGGCGAGCGCTTGTGCCCTATAGCGAAAATCTCTCCAAAAAAAAAAAAACATTACTAATCACATTCTATCAGGACTAGTACAGTTTCTCTCCATTATAATTTTGAGATTGAAAAACTATAGTTTTGACTAAAAATACTAGGTTTGCTCTATCAATATAAATGAGAGTATCTTTAAGGTGGTATCTATTCTCCAATCTAGTGAAATGAAATTAAATTGATCTCTAGGTGGGTGGCGTGATGGCTAAGGGCACTGGACTCCCACTTGGCTGACTGTGGTACAAGTCCTGGGTCTGGTGGCTTCCTTTCTCACTTTCCCTATTTCTCTTCTCCTTCTGTCCCTCTCTGGTCAAATTGGAATGGACAAATAAATAAATAAATAAATATTATTTAAAAAAAAAAAAGAAGTTGATCTCTAAAGGCAGACATCCCTGGAGTTAGACTCTACTTCCACTAAGTAAGAGTATAGAAATCTTTGGGACTAGCAGATGCGTAGTGGTTGTCTCTGGACTACCACAGTTTGAGTCCCAGATCTGGTGGCTTGAAATTCACACTGGAGCATGTGTATGAGTCCCCAAATTCCTGAGAGGAAAATAGAGGAAAAGGATTGTGGTGTGGTCATCCCTCGTAGAGGGGATTTCTTGCTTTCTGTCTCTCTGTCTCTCCAGAGAGTGCACATGCCCTCCAGCAAAAATTTCTCCCCCCCTCCAAAAAAGAAAAAGAGTCTTGAACTTAATTTGTCTCAAACAGCTTTGACCACCAGCAAGTACTATCATCCCTATTTAAATGATAGAAAGAATAAAAGTCTATGATTTCCAAATTATGATTTTTAATGTATTATATTTTATGGAATATTTTTTATAACTGCTTTAGAAAGAAAAAATAATGGGATTTAGTCTTCTTATCCTCCTTAATGCCTATCATAGGGATTGTACAAGTTAAGCAAAGAAGTTTCCTATTCTCAAATAACTAAAAATTGTTTGACTTTAGGTCAGTCTTAAGTAGTTACATTTGAATTTATATTGAATCCTTCATGACACAAAATAAATAGATAATTAGAACCTATTTGCAGAATTCCAAATAACAATAATTTACTATTGTATATTCATGGCATGCCAAAACCAAATATCCCGAAGATATAAAAATGTGTGCAAGTCTTTTTCCCACTCTAATGAAAAATACTTGTCAACATAGGGACCAGCAGTTAGCGTAATGGCTATGTCACTGGACTCCCATGTAACCGACCGCAATTTGTGTCCCAGACCTGGTGGCTTAAAACTCATGCCGGGCACGTGTGCGTGCGTGCCCAAGATCCCAAGAGGAGAATGGAGAAGAAGGGATTGCGGTGTGGCCATCCCCTCTGGGGGGTGATTTCTCGCTTTCTGTCTCTATGTCTTTCTCTGTCTTTCTGGCAAGCGCATGCGCCCTATAGCAAAAACCCCTCCAAAACAAACAAACAAAAAAACTTGTTAACATTAAGTCTATTTGATCACTTCTAATAAACAAAATCAATTACTGGTATCTTTGTATATATTTCTTTAACCAGAATTTATTAACTCTATTCTTAAAACTTTCCTGTTGACAAGCATAGTCTAATAGTCTTCTCAGAAAAGAGGAAATACTATGGTGAAATTAAGAAATTAAACACAAACCAAGTTACACATGAGTTGTAGAGCTCCAGCTATTTGTTTGTTTTTTCTTAAGGATTTTGCCAAAGGGTGAGTGCACTCATTAGGGAGGGGAGAGACAGAGACAGTAAGAAGGAAAGTGAGAAATCACTCCCCACCTCCAGAAGGTATAGCTATGCCACAATCCTTTTTCTTCCATTCTCTTCCTGGGATTCTGGACATCACACACATGCACCCAGCATAATCCTCAAGCCCCCCAGGTCTGTGGGAGAGCTAGTCAATTGAACCCTACTCAGCTATGTGAGAGTCCAGCACTGTAACCACCAGGCCATGTGCTGACCCCAAGAGAACCCTAGTTTTGGAAATATAAGGTCATTTTTAAAAACTGGTATCTGTAAAATTTATGTATTAGTTAATACTTCAATAAGTGATTTGTTTGAAATGGTAATCATTTATGTGCATTTTTTATGTTAGTTTCCATATGACAAACTTCTCTTCACAGTCCAAGTCAGCTAAAGAGTGTTTTTCAAAGAGTCTAAGAGAGGACATAAAAACTAAGCAAGAATACTTAATATTCCCACCTTTGAACAAAAATAATTTGATCTAATCTCTTATAATCACAGTAGTGTGTAATGACCATTAGTAAATTCAATGGCCCACTCCTTAACATCGATTTCTCCACTTCCCCTGATCTTGGTCAAGGGTTCATCTGATCACTGAAGTTCATCAATTGTACGTGGAAAATATCTACTGAGGCCATGCCCTATCTCCTCTGCCAGTGCCAGAGTTTTAGCTCTCATCAATTTTCACCTGGACTACTAAAAGTTCTTGAATGGCCTCCTCTCTCCACATGATATTCCACATGGCCCTAGAATTATCTTTATAAAACATGGACTGGACATACTACATATATGTAAAGAATTTCCATTACATTACCTGTATAAATATTTCTCACAGTTAACAAAGATCAAAAGTAGCCCCAGGGCCAGTCCTTTGGTCTGGTGATTAAGGGAGTACCATCCCACGTGGCCATCCATGCCAGTCTAATTTGGCTGCATCTGAGAAACATGCTGGGTCCATGTGAATGCATGGCTCAAATCCTGACAGGATGGAGAAATGGAGAAGAGATTATGGCATGACCAGGTCCCAGTGGAGGTGCTCTCTCCCTCTCCCTCTCCCTCTCTCTTGGTCTATCTCTCTAGCAAGTGCATATGCCCTCTGGTAAAATAAAACATAAAAATCAAGAAAAAAAGTTACCCAAAAATCTAACATGAATGCCCTACTTGCTATAGTTTCCACAAATATCCTGTCATCTACATAAAACAGATTCATCTGTTTCCCATATGTTGACGTGCTCTTGTCTCATCACCATGTGCATCTATATACCTTCTTCTGGTGCATTTCTAGGCATCTTTCAAAACCTACTTTAAATATGACCTCTTCTCTTAAGGTGTTTTTAATGTCTGTCTTAAAAGGAAAGTAATTGCCAAATCCTAGGTGCTCTCATGGCACTTTTTTATACTTCTTTTTAAAAAACAATCACTTAATGAAGCAGTCCCACTAAACTCTAAACTTCATAAAGAGAGTCTGTGCCTTACTTGTCTTTTTATCTTCATCCTTTAAACTTCATGAAAAAAAAAAAAAGGAGATAATGATCACTTGCGAAAGGAATGAATGATCATTAATGAGATCAAAGGATCCCAGGTGGCATTGCTTGCCAGTGTAGGTTTGAAGTTCAGTCTAGAGAGTTCAATAGACATGGCTGGAAATGTGAAGCATCAGGAAATGAAGCTCCCATGAGAAGCATTAGGAGATCCAAAAATATCTATCTTCTTAGCTCTGTCCCCAAATCCAGTCTTTCAAATGTGAATAGTAGAGCTAACTGGCAGTGTGGTGATTATGGCGGCTGGATTCTAAATGAGCTCTATGTAGTTCAAGTCCAGGACTGGCAGCTTGACGAACACACTGAGCACATCTGTACATGTGCCCAAAATCTGAAAGAATTGAGAAGAGATCGAGGCATGGCCATCCCTCTTGGGGCTTGATTTTTTACTTTTTCTCTCTCTCGCTGTCTCTCTGTCTCTTTCCAGTGAGCGCATGTGTCCCATAACAAACTAATAAAAAATATTTACATAAAGTGCTTAATACTTAGAATTCTATTAGATACTGTTGAAATAAGACAGTTTTAAGTATAGTGCTTCTTTCTTGTTTAATCACTTATCAAGTGCTTATGGGAAACTATGAAACGTTACACCTTTTCTGAATTAGAAATTCAATAATTAAGGGCTCTCTTGATGACTATTTCTAATATATCAACAATTATGTATTTGGGTTTATTAAAACCTTTTGATCATTTTTTACTCTCTTAAATGAAGTATTCTGTCTTTTGGGAATGACTCCGATTTTTATTCTGTTCTATTTTAGATATTATGAGTTGCCTGAATTTCTCAATGGTTTATATTCCCTCTAATGAGAGTCAGTTACAAAAGTTAAATTTAGTCATGTAAATACTCAGCAATGCTCCCTATAAATGTTTCTAAGAAAGTGTTGTTTAGTAGATTCATTTACATAAGCACTTTTTATTTTCCCAATTAATTTTATAGGGCATTAGGGGACATTTTAGAACTTTGTACTTTTTTTTTTTGAGAGTTTTTTTGCTATAGAACACATGCACTTGCCAGACAGACGGAGAGAGACAGAGAGACAGAAAGCGAGAAATCACCCCTCAGGGGGGCTGACCACACCGCAAACCTTTCTCCTGTAAATACTCAGCAATGCTCCCTATAAATGTTTCTAAGAAAGTGTTGTTTAGTAGATTCATTTACATAAGCACTTTTTATTTTCCCAATTAATTTTATAGGGCATTAGGGGACATTTTAGAACTTTGTACTTTTTTTTTTTGAGAGTTTTTTTGCTATAGAACACATGCACTTGCCAGACAGACGGAGAGAGACAGAGAGACAGAAAGCGAGAAATCACCCCTCAGGGGGGATGACCACACCGCAATCCTTTCTCCTCCATTCTCCTCTCAGGATATTGGGCATGCATGCACATGTGCCCGACCTGGTCCAGGATGCGAACCACGGTCGACTACATGGGAGTCTAGCAACATAGCCATTATGCTAACTGCTGGTCCCAGAACTTTGTACTTTTAAAACCCAGCAGATGGCAATACAGGGCTGACTTTAAAATGTAAAATAATAAACTATTAAAAAACTATTAAGTTAAAGATCTCAAAAGCTTTAAATCATCATTGTTGGTCTAGTCAGAGACAAAAATAATCACATCCCTACATTGCTCTGAAAACTAAAAAGATATGTCTTGTTTTATGGGCACATAAGACTATGTCTTATTTTTAGAATTGTCCTTAAATTTTCCAAGTTAATTTCTAAAGGGTAAAATACACTTCCTGGTGCATCTTTGTACCAAGTGGGGTAGGTGAAAAACAAGGCAGTTTGATAGTTGCAAAATGGTCAGATCCTGTCTGGCATATGGCAGAACCCTGTACAAGCGTGTTTGCATTTTACCCCCCAAAATAATCTCTGACTCAAAAAGAAAAGAGATATTAAATGAAGGAGCCATTGGGTTTTTCTACTTCTTAATGTAACAAAGCACTAAGAAGATTAAATATTTTACCTTACTTTAAAGTGGATGGTTTGAGGCTGGCAGGTGGCATCGTGGTTGGGATGGCTGACCATGGTTCAAGTCCCAAACCTGGCAACTTGCTTTCTCACTTTCCTTCTCTCTCTGTGTGTGTCTGTCTGGTCCAATTAAAGTAATAATAATAATGTGAGACCAGCAGTTGGCATAATGGCTATGTCACTGAACTCCCATGTAGTCGACCGTGGTTTGAGTCCCAGACCCAGAGGCTGAAACTCACACCAGGTGCGTGCGTGTGCATGCTCAAGATCCCAAAAGGAGAATGAAGGAGAAGGGATTGCAGCATGGCCATCCCCCTGGGGGGGGGGGGTAATTTCTCACTTTCTGTCTCTCTGGATCTCTCCATCTTTCTGGTGAGCGCACACACCCTATAGCAAAAAACTCTCCAAAATAATAATAATAATTAACAGAATTAAATAAAATAATTCTTTAAAATATTTTAAAAATTAAAAATAAAATGGATGTCTTTCTCTGATACATTTTATTCTTGACTTAAGCCACTGTATTGTCAAGTACATTAATGAGAAAATGAAGTGGCTACTTGATGCTATAGGTGATATGAAAAATATTTCAATAAGTTGCCCCAAATAGAACACAACACTCATAAGAGAAGTAAATATTGGTCACTAAAGAGCCAGATGGTAGTACTGATTTGTCAGGGTTAAAATCAATAAAGTAAGCATTCATATTTAACATCTATGATTACATAATTTTTTTAATCTAAAATTTTATATTTTTTACTAATGATTAATTTACCAAATGAAATAAATATTTCTAATGGAAATTAACATAAACACTTGTAAATAATCAACAAAATGATTAAAAAATACACAATAAATACACAATAGATATTTGAACATTGTTTATATTTTATCAGTTGGAAATTAAGTCTGTGTGGAAAACGTATCATTTTTTAAAAAATTATTTTATTTAACTTCATTTATTTATTTATTTAAATTTGACCAGAGAGGGACAGAGTTAGAGAGATAAAGATAGAGAGAGAGAGAGAGAGAGAGGGAATATGCAGCCACCAGGTCCCGGACTTGAACCTCAGTGAGCCATGTGGAGTCCAGTGCCCTTAACCACCACACCACTTATCAACCACTAAAAGCTTATCATTTTAATTTTTTTTTAAGGAAATGTTTCAATAAACTGCCTGCCTGGTTCAAGATCTTGCTCTGATGCCCTAACATGTATAGCAATTGATTTATTTTGTGATGGTGAAGTAAATTGTCCAGATGGCTCAGATGAAGACAGTGGAATTTGTGGTAAGCCCACTTCCCCAATGTTTTTCCCCTCCTTCCTTTTCATCCTCCCTCACTGTATATATACACACACACACACACACACACACACACATAGTATAACCTCAGATACTGAAACTACTCAACAATGAGCTACTCTCATATCTACGTAAGAAAGAAATTCGTAATTTAATACAAAATATTAAAATAATTGTATGAGTATTTTCCTAAACTTTATTGCTTATTATTAAACATATTAATTACAGGAATCATTTGGATAGATTCCATCTGATGCTGTGACTAATGATGTCTGCCACAATTTTTCATCCCTGCTCTATACTAAACTACTCTGAACTATTATGAATTTGGTATCTCACTTACACATTCCCACTTCTCACTAATGCATTTTTCATTGTTTTTCACTATTATATTCATCTTTTTTCATTTGCTATTTTAATAGTTCCTAACACAGTGAACACCACACTTTAATTTTGATTGTTGTATTATTCATGCTTATAGTTATGTGAATAATGGATACTAGTTATAAGTAAGAACTTAATGTCTCATAAATGATCCATCCACTCTTTATTTGTATATTTGGACATCTGTTTTGAGTATTAATAATACTATCATATTATATTATAATTATTATTAAATACTTAAGTAGCACTTACTATCTATCTAGCATGGCTCCAAGTCATTTAAATATATTTACTTTGCTCATGTTTTAAATTTTATAGCTGTTTTTTATTTAATTAAGATTACTAGAAAGCAGCATCTACATAGGCAACTTATTTTTATGTGTAACATATCAACGCTTGTTGCACAGATATAAGTAAAAATGAATAAAGACTGTGTAGAGCTATTTAAATATCATGGCCTGAAATTTAATTAAGAAAAATTGAACAGACTATAAATTGAACATTTTAGGTATGATTTTATTATAATTTTAAAAAGTTAATCCTGAGTACAATTAGTTCCTGAAACGTGTTAAAGGTTGTGGTAGCTATTTGCTACCCTTTGCTCTTCTATTATTTGTTACACCTTTTTCATCTTGCTTAGTAGTAGTTGAAGGTCAATACCTCAATATGACTAAACTTTAAAAAATTACTTATCTGCTAGTACATCCTTTAAAAGCAGGCAGTTGGGCTGTTTCCCAGTACCAACTCAACAAAAGACAACTCTCCTAAAGAGACTTCCGCTAAGCAATCCCAATTCAAATGTTCTAGGATAAAATTCAAGCCTTCAAAGTTTAACTACATTCTTTGAAGTGTACTCAGAGTATATTGGAAGAAAGTGCAGGCTACGGAATATTCTTTAATCTATTTTATATAACTAAGTTGCTCAAAGAAGAAGAAAGCAACCTTCTTTTTTGCTATGGTATTCAGGCATTTTCCAATACCCTTTCAGAGAGAACCTGATACAAGTGTGCCACCATGAGGTAACACAGGTGATGCTGATTTCAGAAACAGTGACATGTCAAAGACACACACAGAGCTGTAAGCATGTGTAGTAATGATAAATACCATAAACAGAAGAAAAGGCATAATAAATATATTAGGTGAATTGAATAATCAGAAAATGTACTACATTTATTATTTGTTGTCTGTTCTCATGAAGCCAATAATATTCATGATAAGCGAATATCACTGTAAAATCATTGCAGGCCAGACAGTGGCATGATGGTTAAGACAATTGGATCCCACATGGCTGATTGAACATTTCAAGTCCTGGACTCTGAGGCTTGAAAAACAAATAGGATGCATGTGTCTGTGTGCCCAAAATCCCGAGAGGAGAGTGTAGTAGAAGGGACTGTGGTGAAGTCATCCCTCCTGGGAAGTACTTTACACTTTCCTTTATTTTTAAAAAAGGATTATTTTTATTTAACTTTATTTATTTTAATTTGCTGAGAGAGAGAGAGAGAGAGAAAGAGAAAGTGAGAAAGCAAGTTGCCAGGTCCAAGACTCAAACTGTGGTCAGGCATGTGGGAATCCAGTGCCCTTAACCACCATGCTACTTGCTGGCCCCTCCTTCTCTCTCTCATTCTCTCTCTCTCTCTCTGTCTCTCTCTCTCTCTCTCTCTGTCTCTTTCTCTCTCTCTGTCTTCCTCGTGCAAGAGTATTTGTCCTAAGGCAAATTTTTTTAAAAAATGAAAAGAACTGAATTTGCTTTAAAGACTTTAACTGCATTATAACTTTTCAGTATTATGGCAGCTTTATATTTAATGAACCTTCGTTTCAGTTAGTTTTCTGTATCACTAACTTCTAAGTGTCTAGTTCCTCACTTTCCATTTTCTTGATTCCCTTATTGGTAGTACTCTAAAATTAGCATTGCATCTATTTGGGTAAATAAATATAAATCGTTGTCAGATAAGGTAGTGAAAAAGTCAATTTATCTTTATCCAGTGAGAATTCAGGAGTATTTGTTAATTTATTCATTTTAATCATTGATGATGGTGAGCTCAAAAGCCCAGTAGACTTCCACATCAGCTCAAACTTCTAATTTTCACCTGAAGCCCTTTGCCTATCAATCTCCATGAACAGAAACATTTATAAAATTAATTTAAGATAATTTTCTCCACATAAAATTGACCTTTGCTCTTTCAATTTTTTTTTTTGCCCCTGCTGTGAGCTCTAATTCTAGTTTGTGTTATTAATAGAGTCACATTAATGTTGACTTCCTCACAGTTTCCTCTTTTAGTTTTTGGTTATTTAGGTTTGCACAACATATAGCTGACTATAGCTGAACCAAGATTTCTTTAAATTGTTTTTCTCTTCTGATTAGAATTGCATCAGCAAGAAAGTTCACTTTTTAGCTGACCTGTGAGAAGTAACTGCTGACTCACAGCATTTAGGCCAATGTGCAGGCCTGTTTGGAAGCTGGCAAATGTCTTCATAGTTTGTATGCCTCATATGTATGTGTATAATAGACCTTGATGGGTGAGCTTAGATCATGTTTGATTTATCCTGGAGAATTCAACGCCTGGAGCAAACACACAATTAGTAAATGTTGCGCCAGCAGAGGGAGCTCTCAGTGAGTTCTAAGCACATACCCTTATGAATACTGTCCCATTACAGGCAAAGCTCTGATAATGCAACAGAATGTCTGAGTCTGACAGGTTCATTTGTCTCCCATTTGGAATTTTTTCCTCGTGCTGCACTAGCAAGCATTGTGCAGTCTAAAAATCATAACCCTCAAAACCCACAAATTCTGTTTGTCCACAGGCTGAGTTATATATTTTTTTTCCTCCTGAAAGCCTATTCTGCTTCATTGTCATACATAAAATTAGCTTCTCCAAAACCTTCCTGAAATTAAATGAAAGAATTTGTGAGAAAGTCCCTTGCACAAGTCTATATTTTGAAATGATAGTATTCTGGCATTCTGAACATTGCTATTATAGATAGTTCAATACTATTTTAATACCTTTAGAAATATTCTTCATCTTTGCTCACATGTAGTGCTGTCTAGAATAGAATTTGACCTGTAAATGATTTATTCCTACTAAAACTTACCTACTCCATAGCTCAAAGAGTTGGTGATGTTATTATGGTAGCTCTGTGTATTGTGGTTTGAAGCAGTATAGCACAGTATGGTCTAGAATAAGACAGCCTGGAATTGATTTTTTGTTTATAAGCTGGGAGACATTATGCTAGTTGCTTAATCCCTCTATGCTACAGACTTCCTAACTGTAGTATAACCTCATAGGGTTGTTGTAATGATTATATTAATGCATACATACTGCTTTGTAATAACTGACACATAGGAAACATTTCATAAATATTAGCTGTTATATATTAAGTTTAGGGGAATTGATCACACTACCTCACTGGCTCTTAAGTATCATAGTTAAAATATAAACTATTTAGAATAGTAATGGACTTTCTTGCCCTGCTTATAGTCTTTGAGTTCATGTTTTGTTTCTTTTTTTTTTTAACAAGTCATGATTAAGAGACTCTGTGTATCACATAAAATATAAGCAAATATGATTTTTGTTCTTGTGGTTATTAGAGCTAAAGCATTAATTGCCACATTTGTTTGATATGGTTTACATGGGACAGAGAGTTGAGGATGAGGAAAGATTTCCTTTCACAAGTAGAAAATTACTTCACATTGCATTTAAAATAAAATATCTTACTGTTTATCTTCACATCCTAACAAATTCACCTTAATTGTTCTTGTTTGCTGCAAGGACAATTATATAATAAGTATTATACATAAAAAGATTTTTTTCTATCAACAAATAATATTTTCTATTATTTTTCAAAGGGTGTGAAATGAACTGTTCAGAATTAAATCTTTACATTATGGGTTATGATCTTTTCTGTTATTAGACTTTGTCTTTATTTTTTTTTTGGTATGCTGAGAATCAGGTCATAAAGTCATAAGCCAAAGCAGTCAATTATTAAGTAATTATGCATAAGCAGACTTGGGGTCTTAAAATTAACTTGCTAAAATAAATATTTCATGCTTTTTAGAATAATACCAAAAATAGTAAATGGTAAAAAAAAAAAAAACACAAGATTTTTACCAAAATTTTAGTGTTCTGTTCATTATTTATTTATTTATATTCATATAAAATATTTGTCATATAATAATGTGTATCATATAATTTAATAGAATTTTTATATAATGTTATTGTGAGCTTTTCCTCTCTTCAATTTAGGATTAGCTTTATTCTAGAATTTAGCTGCCAAAGGCACTAATTTTTTTTTTAGAGAGATTTTTTTTTTTACTGGGTGCATGTGTTTGCTGGAAAGACAAAGAGAGACAGGAGACAGAAAGAGAGAAATCAACTCCCCAGGGGGATGAACATGCTGCAATCTGTTCTCTTCCATTCTCCTCTCAGGACTTTAGGCATGTATGCACACGTGCCCAGTGTGTTTTAAGCCACTGAATCTAAAACTCGAACCAGGGTTGACTACGTGGTAGTCCAGCGACATAATCATTACAGCACCTGCTGGTCCCCCAAAGGCAGTCATTTAATTTTGATATATTTTCTTTATCTTCTCACCTTCCATCAGTGGTTCTGGAATATGAGAAACTTACAACCTACCCAGAAAAAAAAGGCATATTCCAGAAGTCATAATTTTAGAATATGATGTTAACAGAACAAACTTATATATAGAAAAAATAATGTAAGAAAAACTGAAAATAAAATAGCTTTATGTTTTTACAACACATTATATATATCATGTGGATAAAAACAACAAGCAGCTATAAACTATGACTTCTGCTTCATACCTTTAAGATTTAATCTAATTGGAACTGATTCTGATATAAATCATACACAATAATGATTCATGACACTAAAGAGATGCTCATGAAATAAATGTGTTATAAAACTAAAAGAGTAAAGTAAGTAATCATAAAACAAGTCATAGATAATGTAAAATATTGACTGTAAATATTCAGCCAAATTGTAAGTCTATCCAAAAGTAGTAGAGTAAGAACTGTAAAAGATAGGTGAAATAGATTAATTGTTGAAATTTCTGCAGGACACTAACACCATGTTATCATCATATGTATTATTTGCCTGGCCTTAATTTAATCGCTTTCAGGTCATAGCACTTTGTGTATTAATTTTCATGCATTACATAACAACATTTCAGTCAATATACACCACAATAATCTCATAAGATTAAAATAGAGCTGAAAAATTCTTATTGTCTAATGCCATTACAACCATCATAATGTCATCATGCAACATATCATTCATGTTTGTAGTGATGTCGGTGTGAATACTACTACACTGCGCTTACATATATAAACACGTAACACATAAAATTATGTGCAATGCATACATATTTTATATCAATAAATGATGCTGTTATTGGTTTATGTATTTACTATACTTATTATTTCAGAGTAAAATCTTAGTTTTTAAACAATTATTTTATTATATTGTATTTATTATTATTATTATTTGACCAGAGAGACACAGATATAGTGAGAGAGAAACTGAGAAACCAAGCCTTCATATCCACTATTCAAATCACAGTTGGTCAGTGGGAGTTCAGCACCCTAACTATCATGCCACCGGCCAACCTTATAATTCTATTTTTTAAAAAAACTTTACTGTGAAACACTAGGCTATGTTATGCTGAAAGCAGTCTCATCAATTTTGTGTTTAACATTTCTTTCTCCCATAGGGTATGTGCGTTCTCCAGAGAGACAGAGAGATGGAATGTAAGACATTACCCTCCAAGCACTAGTTCTGGGACTCAAACCCATGCTTGTCCATGTGAGAATCCAGTGCATTAGCTACCAAGGCACCTGCTGACCCATATTTACTACGTCTTCTAATTACACCCTTTCTGTTATGCTTAATTTAATCTGATATTTTGTTCATCTTCATTTTTCAACTGAGATGAGATAAGGAAGTGGAAGACACTGATATTTTGATTCTGACTCTGTAGGCATAGGCGAAATTTTGGTGTTAAACAAAAAAAAACTTTAAAATTGAAAGATAAATGAATAAATAAAACTAAAGCATATAAAAGCTTATAGAATAAGAATATAAATAAAGCAAATATATTTGAACAACTATACAATGTTTTGTCTTAAGCAAAGTATTATAACAAAACTCAAAGTTTAAAAAACTAAAAAGTTTATAAAGTAAGATTGTTAAAGTAAGCCAAGGTTAACCCATTGGGTCTTTGGAAAAGTCATAACATATTTTTGCATAGAAAAAAAGAGAAAAATACTTTATAACTTTCCAGAACACCTAATATTATTGAAGAAAGTTGTTTAAATTTATTGTAGCTTTAGTGTAAAGTTGTTTAAAAGTTTGTGGTAATTATAGTAATACCCTAGGCCTTCACAGTCACTCACCACTCTCTCACTCACTACACACAACTTCTACTCCTGCAAGCTTTGTTCATGGTAAGCGCCCTATTCAGGTGCATATTTTTATCTTGAGACCACAAAATCGCCCAGCTGCACGTTGCTCAGAATCTTTCCGTTGTTAAGTAATGCATTTCCCTGTTGTTAAGTGATGCATGACGATATCTGAAATTCAAATAACTACAATTTAATGGGAAACCAAGATAAATAATTTGTCTCAATTGACAATTTACAATTAAGATATATGTGTTTCTTTGAAATATGGAAGAACACACTTGAAATTCAGCTGAGGTATGGGTGTTTAGGCATGGAATTCTTCCTACATTATTTTATGATGGGATATGTAAGAATATTTTTAAATAGGTAATATTTCTAAATAGATCATGAGTTTTGATTTACCCCTATTTGGTCATATAAGTTTTGTAAAACAGCCTTGTACAGATTCTGTCTTAAGTGTTCAGTGAACTGTTTTTTTAGTGAATTTGAATCCCAAGATTGCTTTCATCCAGCATGGATTGCCATTTCCTTTTGCAGCTACTGCTTGTGATGGAAGATTTTTGTTGACTGAACCTTCTGGGTCTTTCCAGGCTACCCATTATCCAAATCCTTCAAAATCAAGCACTGTTTGCCAGTGGATCATAAGGTACTATACCATCTCTATTCTTAAGTCATACGGTCTTTTTCTGATGCAATGTCGTATCACTTCCAGTACTATTTTTTTACAGTTATTGTTTTCATTAATTATGAAACTGACAAACTATTTGTATCACTTCCAGTACTATTTTTTTACAGTTACTGTTTTCATTAACTATGAAACTCCCAAACTATTCAAAAGTTTCTTTCTTGTTTTCAACCATTTTAAAGATATTCCATTCTGTGAACAATGCAAATAAATGGGGCCAGCTCATTAGGCTCTATAGCAAGATTCTCCACCCTCAGATTGGCACAGATCATTTGTTGTCAGGGCAAGCAGCACACATGTATGGTTCTTGTCACAGGAAATGCAAACTCACATCACCTGCATCTGGCTCAGTCTAGTTCCTTTCTTACTATGCCAGTAACTGCAAAAGCTTCCAACAGTGTGATTTACATAAAGCAGATTAAGAACAAGGAACACCCTTTACATACATCCTTTCACTATAACTTGAATGACATTTGGATCAATTACTACATATTTGACCTCTGAACTCTTAATTTAAGTTACTAATTTACTTACAATAATGATTAAAATAATCAGGCTGCTAATAGCTTATCTACCTAATGCTCTCTTAAGCACTTTTCACAGAGGAGGAATACCTGAAGTATCTCCCAGATATTATAAGAAGAAAAACAATTTGTACTCAAATACATACAATGGATTCTGAAATAAATTCATTAACACTTAAAAGTACAGGACTTCAGGGGCCAGCAGGTGGATAATGGTTTGAGTTGCTGGACTTATGGCTTGAAAATCATGCTGGGTATATGTGCATGAGAGCCCAAGATCCCAGGAGAAGAGTGAAGAAGGGATTGTGGTGTGGCCACCCCCCTACCTCAGGTGGTGAGGGATAAGGGATTTCTTACTGCTTCTCTCTGGAGAGCGTACATTTTTTTAATCTCTGGGACCTAGGTTAAAAAAAAAAAAAAAAAAAAGAAGTATAGGACTTTGTGTAGCTCTAAAAATTTTTTTATTAGGGCAGCGAACATTTCTTCCCATAGAGCAGGCAGAATAAATGTTTCATGAAATTCACTTGGAGAAATTATATTCAGTTAGTTCATTTCTCATGACAACTGGGTGGGATAATGGTTTAATAAATTGACCTATGGTATAATTTTAATCATTGTAATGACTCACTAGAAAGCTGGGGGTATCAGGGTAATAGCTGATTAAAGAGGGTTAAAGGGCAGAGCCTCAGGTTCTTGCCAAACAAATGATAGGAAATGGTTCAATAAATAATCACCAGGGTAATTTTCCTATATTGACATATCTGACAGAGGAGATATGAAGAAAAGAATGTTCTATACATATTTACTTGGTATTTTTCAGGGAAAGAAGAATATTTTGTTCTCTTAATTTATATTTTGAAGCTCAAGCTTACATAAGATATATGATTTAACTAAGAGCACAATATCCTCTGTTTTATGCTCTAGACAATTTATTATTTGTGGGGTGAAAACAAATTTGTATCTTTAAAATGGTCATTTCTATATAATTCTTGCCAGTTGAAAAATTAATCTATTTGGAAAATATTATTTCCAATTCCCACATAGAATATTTTTAGGGACCAGCAGATGGCATAATGCTTATGTCACTGGCCTCCCACATGGTCAACTATAGTTCAAATCCTGAACTGCTCCCACATGGTCAACTGTAGTTCAAATCCTGAACTAGTGACTTGAAACTCACACCAAGAGCATGTGCTTGTGTGCCCAAAATCATGAGAGGAGAGTGGAAGAAGAAAAACTTGTGGAGTGGCTGTTCCTCCAGGGGGTGATTTCTCTGTCTCTTCCAAGAGTGCACTTTCCCTATAGCAAAAATTTCTCTAATCTCCCTAATATATATTGTGTATATATATATATACACACATGTTATATACATTATATATAGTGTGTATATACTATATAAACTATAGCATATATGATATATTACTATATTATATACAGTTATATATATATATTTATATTTATACACACACACCCCATATATAATATCATAATATAATATCAAAATTTATAATGGCCACTAGCATTATCCCTAAGAAAATTTTTAAAATTATATTCTTTTATATTCTTCAGAACACAGAATAAACATTTGCGGAACCAGCAGTTAGCATAATGACTATATCTCTGAACTCCCATGTAGCTGATCAAGGTTTGAGTCTCAGACCCATGGCTTAAACTCACGCTGGGTGTGTCTGCGTGCATGCCCAAGATCCCAAGAGGAGAATGGAGGAGAAGGGATTGCAGTGTGGCCATCCCCCCTGGGGGGTGATTTCTCGCTTTCTATTTCTCTGTCTCTCTCTGTCTTTCTGGCAAGCGCACACACCTTATAGCAAAAACCTCTCAAAAAAAAAAAGAATAAACATTTGCTACAAAAATAAGTATCATTTATGTAATGATCATTCTGTAACAAGAACTTAGATGGTTTTATTCTTTTTTCTTCCTATGTATTAATTAATTTTCAAAATCATTTTAGCAATTCTAATCTAAAATATCCTGAAACAAACACTGTACTTTATACAAAATAATAATTTGATTAAGCACTTAAATAATTTATTTTTTTTCTCCTCAGAGATGATTGTTATATTAGAGATGCATTGTGTCAGTGAATCTTTTTCTTCCCCATAGTGATCAAAATAGGGGGAAAGGCAATGATTCTTCTAGAAGCTTGAAAAACTATTTTAAAAGTGGGGAAATGTTTAAGATGCAATTAAGGCACATTTGGAATTTATTAAGATCACTTTTTGCATAGTCTCAATAGTAAGAATGTGGATACTAGAAACAGTCTGTGTGGATTCAAAATTACCATTTTCAGATTCAAAATGTATGAACTGAGGCAAAATACCCATCATTCTCAAAATATTGCAAAATAACTAAGCTAACACATAAAAACATTGAATTATATTCTTCAATTAAATTTTAGTTTTATAAATTCCTGTGCTATTTTCTAAGTGAGTTGGTTTTCTGAATCAGAAGAAAGTAGAATATGGTATGTACATGCTTCTTTCTTCTAACTCCAATTATTTGTCCTGAAAAGTCAGAGGACTCCTGATCACAAAGGCCTGTAAGGAGTTCCTCTGGTATTCCTTAGTTTTTCAGCTTGAAAACACCAGAGGGAAGAACTTACTACATTCTTTCCTAAAAATACTAAGACTTTAACTTAAAGAGCAGAAATCATCCGTGAAGTCTGTTTCATATCTTCTGCCTCTGCCTTCTTAAGCTTTGACTAGATTCCCTGAAGGTCTCACCAGCAGGCTCACTCCAATTGTACCTACACTGACCTACTGAAGTAGAACTTAGAGACTGCTGAAACCAAAGCTTTGTTCTCCTTCTCTCAGTCAGGGCTGGGAAGATTAGCTACTTCCTCACTGTGATCTCCTTACCCCTGCTGTCTCCTGAGATTAACAAACATGTCTGAGAGTAAACCATCACCATGGTATCTTCTGAATCAACCTATCTCACTCCAATAGTCCTCAAACATAAGAGTTCATCACAGTCACTCCTAGAGCTTGTCAAAGTTTTTATTCCAGAACCTATACCTGAACTGCTGAATCTGGCTTTAGAGACTGTATCTCTACCCATTATCAGTTCAATTCCCTCTCCTGGGTTCATCTGCAGGTAACCCATTTTACCTCATGCTCAAACCAGTTTAGACATTATCTCCCACATTCTTGTTTCAGCCTTCTCCCCTTATGAGGAGTTCAGGGGAACTTTGCCCCTCTAAAGTAATTTGAAGAAGTGTTCGTATTTCTGATTCTAACACTGAGACAGTGGAGTTGTAAACAAAGATTATCCTAGATGCCTTTTCCTCAAAATTATTATAAATATTGATGATTTCACTTATATTAAGCATTTAGGGTAGTTAAACTCTCAGGAGTGGAAATAAAATAGTGGCTGCCTGAGAATGGTGGGAAAAGGGAGAAATGAGGGGTTGCTGCTCAACAGACATAAGAGTTTCAGTTATGCAAGACTGAAAAGTTTAGAGATTGGTCTAAACATTGTGTTCAAAGTAATACTGGACTTCAGACTTAAAATTTTGTTAAAAGGGTAGATCTCATAAGGTTTTTATCACAGAGAAAGTACATTCTACTTATAGAATAAATGAAGAATTATGACAATTTTAAGAGCATTGTAACTGACATTTTTTCCCTTTTAATTCAGTGTAAACCAAGGACTTTCAATTAAACTGAGCTTCGATTCTTTTAATACATTTTATACAGATGTATTAAGTATTTATGAAGGTGTAGGATCAAGCAAGATTTTAAGAGGTAAGTTAAAACAAATAACCCATTATCAAATTGAAAAGTCAAGCTTTCGTTAGTGAAATTTTTTCCCTTTGATTTTGAACTGAATAAGGACTTGAAATTTAAATCACTGAAAGGAAAAAGAAAACTGGTTCTCATTATATGAATTTGAAAATCAGTGCTCCATTTAATCTTCCTTGTAATACAGTAGATACTATTTTACATGCTCCCTCCTAATTGATGATTTTTAAATCTTATGAAGTTTTCCAAAGAAATATGCTTTGCTACCTGCAGTATTTAGATGTTACTCCTGTTAAGCAAAATTGAGACAAACCCTGAAAATTACCGTTCTATTGTAGTGTGTGTGTTATAAATTTGGAGTCTCTGTTCTTATATTCAACATGCACCCCTCTTCTCGGTCTCTTGTAAGATTAATATTAATAAAGTGGGCAAAACAGTGTCTAGTACAGAAGACATTTTTGATAAATGGTAGGTGTGAACAGCATTGTTACTGCATAACTATCATTCTCATTCAGGATGCTGATGGATGCTAAGAGGAGGGCACGGGATTCACTAGCAACATTTATGTGACCACTCCACTTCGTTCTGTCTCACCCCTGAAAGAACATACCTAGTCATAAAAAACAGTGAAAGTAAGGGGCCTAATTCAAAGGGGAAATAAAATGAGGATAAAATTAGTTTTCCTCACACCTTGGAGAAACAGTCAAGTGTTGAGCTAATGTGAGATTGCAAATTTATGTAATTATTATTAAAGTTTATAGATGTTTATATAATAATTACATTTGTTTTTAATAATTTTGTTTTTCCAGCTGTACTTGTAGATAATGAAAAGTTAATTAAAACAAGTAAAATATCTTTGATTTATTTAGTGGTTTGAGAAATATTTAGGCACATGCTAATAGTATTTAATTTTATTGGGTACTCTTAATGTGACATTGTACTGAGTAATTTCAGTGGATTTTCTTACATAATACTTTCAACAAATAGGTGAAATATGCAATACAAAGGAGTAAATCGAGGTCTAAGAGGGTAAATGGACACACATTCACAGACTGAGTTAGTTTGGAAGGCAGGAATCATACTCGAAACCCTCATATTTCACATACAATGCAATTATTCAGCTTCAAAAGTCACAAAAGACATATGAACTCCTATGTCACATTTGGCTTAAATAAATGAACAAAGAACTTCATAATCTATTTCTATATTTGATAAAGGCAGTTCCTTAAAATTATGAACAATATATTTACAGAAATAGACAAATAAATGAGTTCATATAAATATCTCCAAAGACAATATGACATTCAGAAATTTTAGCATACATCAATCAACCTACAAGCTGTATTGTCAGCACTTTAAGTTAACTCTATAAATCCTCCCCAAAATGAATTAGGTGCATGTTATTATAAGCTCTACTTTACCAATGAAAATATATAAATTCACAGAGATTAACCGTCCAATAAGTGGTAGATACTCTTCATGAATTATCAATTTCTCTAAAACAAAAAAATCATATCATGGATATGAAATTTAATAATATATGCAAATATGTTTGAAGGTAAAATATTTTTTATTAACTTCACATATTTGTTAGAGGAATTTTGTACACAAAAATGTATTCATTATATCATTCCAGTTCATGATAGGGGTTCATTATGTGGAGAAGCATTACAAATAATGACATAAAAGATCATTCCTTTCAGAACCTAACAAAGATGTCCCAATGACAGTGCTTGACAAAATTAAGGATTCTTTCCTTAGTACCTCCATAGTATTTATCCTATATTGAATAACTCTACGTTACTTTTTCTTTAAGTTTTTTTTCACAGGGTGTGTGTGCTCACTAGAAAGAGAGAAAGAGACAGAGAGAGAAAAGAGAGAGAGAGAGGAATCATCTGCAGGGTGAATGGTCATGCCACAAAGCTTTCTCTCCCATTCTCCTCTTAAGATTTATGGCATGCATGTACACATGTCTGACATAATTTTCAAGGCACCAAGTCTTGTAATCAAACCATGGTTGGCCATGTGACATCCAGCACCCTAGCCACCATGCCATCAGCTGACCCACATGGCATTTTTTATAACTTATCAATCTGAATTTTTCTTTTCTTTTTTTCTTGAAGAGGTTTTTGCTATAGGGTGTGTTTGCTCATCAGAAAGAGAGAGACAGAAAGGCAGAAAGTGAGAAATCACCCCCCCAGGTGGGGTGGCCGGATGGCCATGCCATAGTCTCTTCTCCTCCATTCTCTCGGGATCTTAAGCACGTATGCACACGTGCCCAGTGTGAGTTTAAGCCACAGGGTCTGAGACTTGAACTGCAATAGATTACATGGAAGTCCAGTGACATAGCCATTATGCCAACTGCTGGTCCCAGCAATCTGAATTTTTCTAACAGGAGAAATTACTTGTTTATTTTCTGTGTCATTGGCACTTGACTTTAAACTAAATTCATAGTGGGTACTCAATAAAATGTTTAAATATATTAGAAATCCCTCATGTTATCAAGGAGATACTCTACTCGCAGCATTTATACTCTTAAAAATTGAATAAAAGAAGAGTTTTGAACTTGACCTTTTGAGTCATACTCTGTAGAAAGTCTGTCATCTCTATCCATTGAACTCTTTCCAAAATCCCTCACATTTTATCATGTTTTCTCTTTCACCACACCAACTCTCAAGAGCCTTGGCTGGTGGATGACACCATGAGTTAATTCATATCTGTGTGACTGCTTGGATAAATTAATATCCACAGAAGTATTTCTTTTGGGTAAAATAATACTGAATTTCTTAAGGAAACAATGTCTTAAAATGTACTTTTTTAGATATAATATGTAATCAAGAAAAATTCAACCTTTAAAAATTAATCAGTAGTTATTTTTTTTCCTTTGGATGCATTCATATAATTATATGGGTAGAGAGAGCAATAGAAATATCCTTTTGTTTCTATATCCTCTGAAAGATTAGAGGATACAGAAGCATGGATTATTGTTACAGATACTGGAGACAGTGTGGGAAGAGGGTGGGAGGTGAAGAATGTGATGAAAAATATTAAGGAGAAAAATAGAGAGGCAAGACATTCATTGGACACAGAAATGGACTGTTGTCTGTTGATGATAACATGTATAGTATCTTCAGCTGAACTGATGTGAGTTGTATTTGTGTTGGGTAAATTCACTTTACAAGTCAAGTGATGTACAAGTGATTGAATGTATTAAATAAAGTTGAAAAATAATAATGATGATAAATAAAATTAAATATATTTTTAAACAAATAAATATCCTTTTGTTTCCATTCTGGTTGCCCAGTTTTAATGCCTGTTTGTGTGGCACATGTAACATCTGATGGAGCCAAACTTTGAGTTGTGTAGGTGCTTAACTTATTTGTTTCTTAGAGGGCTCTTTTCAATAAAGGAATGCAGTTTTTGTTTTTACATATGTACTTAGCAAGTTAAAAATGAAAATATGGTTTTAAAAAACTGTAAATATGTATAATAACTTGAAGTTTTCAAATGATTAGAAGAGACATTTCAATTAAAATAAATTGATTGTAAGGCTAATGCTTTTAGTTAAGTGAGTGGTATCAGACAGACAGATTGATAGATTATCCAATAAACTAACAGATTAATGGATGGATAGATGAATGAATAGCTAAATATGTACACATAACAGTAATTCATTTTCTCTTATAGCTTCTTTTTGGGAGACTAATCCTGGTACAATCAGGATTTTTTCCAACCAAGTTACTGCCACGTTTCTCATAGAATCTGATGAAAACGATTATATTGGCTTTAGTGCAACATATACCACATTTAACAGCAGTGTGCTTAATGGTAAGTATTGCTTCTTCTTCAAGCTTTGAAGTTTCACATGCTTTAATACCATTATAGAAATTAAAAGTAGCAGAATCTGAAATTTGCGTTATGAAAGTTCTTTAATGAGTGTTTCTTATGTGAATCTCTACTTGATCCTTAGAAAGGAAAAACAAATTAGAAAATAGTTGACATTCTTCAAAGAAATCAACTAATTTGAGAAAAATTATAAATCAAAGATAAATTTAAGAATACATTAAAATTATATACACTGAAAATATACCAAGGTAAAAAATATTACTATAAAATAATTTAGAAATAAATCCACCTAAAATTAATTTCATTCAAAGTATTTCATTTAGTAATGGGGGCAAGAAAAATATGAAGATGAGGCTGGCTCATTGGCACAGTAATAAAGTGCTTCTTAACAGAAGCCAGATTCCATATTGTGACCACAGTCAATTTGAAAGACACAGTGCAGTCATGTAAATTTCCAAGATTAGATGAGCTCGTAGATTACAGGAAGATTGCTACACAACCGGACCATGTGAAAGAGGCTCTGTCTTTCTCCTCACTCACTCTCATGTACATGTGCACATGATCTGTCATGAATAAACTTTAGAATATGTTTTAAACAAAAAATATATAAAACAACGTTTGTGTAGGTACATCAATGAAGACAAAGGTAGAGATTAAAGAAGTTTGCATTTGCTAAAGCTCTGATGAGGCATGAGAAACATTAATTTTACACAGTTGGCAACACAAAGCTGTTCAAAATAAATAAATAAAATGAAAGAGTTAAGATTAATTTTTAAAAAATAATATCATATCTGCCATTCAAACTGTATAAGGTTAGATTATTTTTAATGTGATATAACTACTTTCATCATAGATTAAATTTCACTTTGTTTTTTATTCTTTTTTTTTTAATTCACAGATTTTGAGAAAATTAACTGTACTTTTGAGGATGGCTTTTGTTTCTGGGTTCAAGACCTAAATGATGATAATGAATGGGAAAGGGTCCAGGGAAACACCTTTCCTCCTTTTACTGGACCAAACTTTGACCACACTTTTGGCAATATTTCAGGTATAATTCATTCTTTAATTCAAAAATCAAAAGGAATATAGTGTGTTATTCTGCAGCTTAAAATAAGCAATATTAAATGCAAAAAAGTATTCATACTTTTATATTAAAAACTAATAAATGCGTTTGAATAAAATATGGTAATCAAAAAGACAAGTAAAAGCTAACATGTTTTAAAAAATATTATTTTACCCTAGTTTTATAATATGAAAGGTGCATGAAGATCATTAGAGACAAACAGACTAGGTTGTGGTAACAAAAACATGGCACTTACTAATGAAGAAAATGTGTGAAGTAATTAATTTTCTTGAACTTGGACTGTTTTGCCTTAGTTTCATTTTCTTGTTGTTCATTGGTTGTACACAGAGCTACAATGAATTTTCATACATTGATCTCATATCCTACATCCTTGTTTGTTAGCTCTGATAATTTCTTTTTTTTTCTTATTATTTTTTGTTTTATTATCATCATAATCTTGTTTATATTACATTGAATTGCATATAACTTCACAGTGTATTACATTGCTTTTTCAAAAGGGAATGCCATGCATGTCAGTCAATACAGAGACATTAATCTCCCCACTTCATCATTCAATAACTTTTCTATGTTTTTCCCAATCATATTATTATTATTCTAATTATTTTTTCAAAGTCAATCACTATTTCTCATTTTGCTTGTAAAAAGACTTTACCCATCATGAAATACTTCTCAGACCAATCCAGTTGAGAATACTATACATGTCATTATCAACAGGTAATAAGCCATATCTGTTTCTCACTAATGTCCTGCCTCTCTATTGTTCTCTTGCTATCTTTCTCTATCCTCTTCTCTTCACTTCCCCCATTCCACACTGTCCTATTCTCGTTAAGTAACTTCACTGCTTTTATGTCCTTCAATTTTTCGCTCTCTACCATAGAGTGTGGATAGTCAGTTTATATTGAGTGGATACATACAATATCTTTCTTTCATAGCTTGGCTTACTTCACTCAGCTCTGATAATTTCTCTAAAGAATTTCTTAGACTTTTCAATATGCGAGATTATATCATCTTAAAGGAAGATAGATTTACTTTTTTGAAAAGCTCTATGGAAAATTAATTGTAAAGCATGGTCTAAAGGAAAGGGATTGGAATTTGTTTTCTTTTCTTTTCTTTTCTTTTCTTTTGGAGAGGTTTTTGCTATGGAGTGCATGCGCTCGCCAGACAGACAGAGAGAAACAGAGAGACAGAAAGCAAGAAATCACCCCCCAGGGGTGATGGCCACACCACAATCCCTTCTCCT